GCATATGTATGGCCAAAATGTGTGTGTGGGTGTGTGTGTGACACGCCCTTTACAGCGTCAAAGTGTTGACGCAATGACTAACTGAAACAGCCAGGCTGGCGAAATGGACGGGAGGAGGGATGGACGAGCAGACAGACAGACAGACGGACTGACTGATTGAGTGAATTTGAGATTGAATGACAGGCATAGGCAGGGCAGAGGGTGGGTATGCAGGCTTCATACGGGTGGGTGGGGCCGGTTAGATCTATGTAGCTGGCAGCAAATCAAAATCAGCACAAACTGTAATAGAAACGGCAAATACGTGCCCAGCAGCAACAACAACAACACAACTACAGCAACTGCGAGGCAAAACAAAAATTTGTGCGACAGTAAATTTAACGGAAAGTGCCTCATCAACACCACGCCATACAGCGGGGGGCGTGGCAGTTGGCAGCTCCGCTCTGTCTCTTTTTTTTGTATTTTTTTTAGCTCTGCCCAAAGCTGATGTAACAAATTGTCGCGTTCTTTTGCCAGCCTGCTCAATTATTGTGAAAATCAAATTGCAAAAAGATTTTCTATTAGAGAGCAAACAACATGCTAAACAACAAAGCGAAAGGGGCGGCGGAGGAAAATTTGAATTTAAAAATTCAGCACACGTTTTTCGTTGTCGATTTTCAGTTTTTTTTCTCGGTTTTCTTCTTTTGTTTTGTTGGCCAATGGCGTCAAATGTAGCGTTAACTTGGCGTCTCTGACAAATCAGAGAAAATCTGAAAATCAAATTACCAAAAACATACACCTCCCACAGGAGTGCTGGCTGCCGGGGATGCGACAAGCAAAATAAAAAGAAACGAACAGAAATCCACGTGTCATGCTGCACTTGAGACTGGGCGCAGTCAACTGTCTGCTCATCTCTCACTCTCACTCTCTCTCGCTGTCTCTTTTGCTCTGTGCTCCGCTGGGCTGCTGTCATTGTTTTCGACAGCAATTTGGATTTGTTGGGGTGTGCTGCGAACGCGCTAGGGAGAGGGGTCTGAGCAAGAGCAGACGTTGGCGGTGGGCGTGGGCTATGTGGGTGCACACATTGACATTGTCTGCTGCGGCGACTTTTAGTTCTCAAATCAAAAACGTATCAAATAAAAGATTGCTCGTGTGCTCCATAGCATACTTTTGTGCGCACTCAACACGTGCCCAGCTGACCCCATGCCCGCTCCTGCTCCGTGTTGGCAGCCCATGTGGATGCGATGAGTATGTACAGCTGATGTGGATGTGCTGTGCTGTTACTGTGCTGCTGTCAGCAGTTCCGTGTCCAGCTCCAGCGAATGCGACATTTTTCGAGTGCTGCTGCTTAGCCACTCGGGAGTTTCGAGTTGAAGTTCGAGACGCTGACGAGGCGCCGATGACACAACGGGCACCTTGCAACATACACACACACACAAACATATACACAATTTGAGATTTGAACAAATAGCGCGGGCACTACAATGCGCTAGAATAAATATATGATAACAGTCACACTACTGTTTCGAAGCACTTTAACAATGAAAATTCTATTTACTACTGCAAATAATGTGTAAAGAGATTTCTTTCTACAAATTTCAGGAGATTTTCATTTTATTTTATATTTGTATTTACGGTCGTATAGAGTGTAATATTAGAGAAGTAGATCCTTCAGAGAGATATGAATTCTTGTTGCTGAAGGGGAAGTGGAGCAACATATCATAAAGATAACAGGTGCAGCAATATTATAGAATGAAGGTAATATGAACAATAGCCATTTTTAAAGCTAAATTGAAAAAAATTAACGTAACGTAAAGTAAACGTCTGGGAGATCGCCTGAACCTTACATAGAGCTGATTTTCCGTTTGAGCAGGATTTGAATTTATTTGATGTTAGTTAAAAAGGTTTTACGGTACGGCTATCTATAGATCCACAAAGAATAAAGAAATATTAAAGTTATTTGAGTTATGCATAAATCAAGCAGACATCAAATAATATGCATTTGCTTTTCCCTTTCTCTGATTGGAGCTGCTACACAGATTTGTATATTTTTTAAACCAATTTCATATACTAATTTTATTTTATTTTTTCAAATTCCATAGAGTATTCAAATTTCGAGTCTTTTTTCATGCCTTACCAAATTAGCAATATTATAACTCAAAACTATTTACCTAGTCCAAACTGCAATATAGCTAATTAAATACCGAAAATTTTGAATGTCAGTGCATATAATTAACCCACATACGTGATGCCAAAGTACACAGCGTAACAGCAACAACAACAACAACAACTTGAAGCTTTTTGCTCACGGCGCTAAGCTGGCAGATCGTTTGGCGTTGAATGTGTGAAAGTGCGCTTGCATAATTTCATTAAAATAACTGTCAAAAATTTCACATATGCCAGACACTCGCACACAGAGTCGCTAAGCCTGCGGCTCGCATGAACAGACTAGCACATACATAGACGCACTCACTCATACACACACACACACACACACACACAGAGGCACACACGCACACCATGTTGAAAACCAACAAAATGCTAAACGCTTCGAATTGAAACGCGTATTTCGCAGCCGCCGCCGCCGCTGCGGCGCAGCTGTCAATAGGAATTCTGCAGGTGTCAAAAATATTTCAGGCATGCCTCTGTCTGTATCTATATATTAGTATGTATAGATGTGTGTGTGTGTGTGTGTGTGTGTGTGTGTGTGTGTGTGTGTGTGTGTGTGTGTATGTGAATGCGTGAAAATTGGCATAAATTGCTTTAGGGCCTTGTGGCTTACAGCTGCTCCCCTCTCTCGCTTTCTCTCTCTCTCTCTCTCTCTGTCTTTCTCTTTCACTTTGTCGGTGTGTGAAATTAATTTTCATTATTGGATTGCGCGACTTAGACATCATTATCATGTTCTTATCGACATCGACACACACGCCACAAATTTTTGCTGCTCATGTGGCGCCTAATCGCTCAGAAAGCGCTCAACATTTGCCACAAAGCCCACAACTGACAATCGATTTGGCGATTTAAAGAATGTGACATGCGCCCGAATGCTGCTCAGCATGAATTTGCGAATTCGTGTCAGCTTTTGAGGCAAGATTTAACAGACAAATATGCAATGAAATAATTATTGCAAATTGAATCCGAATTTCTGCTCAATTGGTTTATGCACCTAACTAAATTTAATTGATAATAAATATGCAGAGAGAAATCAAAAACTCGTTTAATAATTTAGACAAAGCTGTTATTTTATTAAAACCAACTTAATTGAGCATAAATGTAGTTTAAATTAAAATCAAATTCTCTGTACAGTTTTTATGCTAATTGGGCCAAGTTAATTATCATTAAATTGTTAGGCCTAATGCAAGGCAAATTGAAGTGTTTGATATCAAAGTTGATTCTTTGCTGGAACCAAATTGTCATCGTCATTTCGGGCTCAACAATTCAATTACACTGCTATGGGCTGTCATAAAGGAAACTCAATAGCAGAGCTCGAGCATTGTAGCCTGGGCATAGTTTCGCCGAGCATCGCCCTGGCAGGGGCAACAGAGACAAACCATTTTATGGTTACCCGAATGCTTCACAGATAATGAAGAGGAAGCCTCAGGCACAGTCTCTCACTCACACAGACACACATACATACATATGTATGTATTTCTGCGTATTCTCGGAGCCAAATAATTTTGTGGAAGCCACAAAACTAACCAAGCACATAATTTGTGAAAATTGAATTGAATCTCAATGAATATGAATATGCCTACAACCAGCTCGAGCTCTTGACAAATCGAGCTGTGGCACAAATTGCAAATAATTTGGTAAAATTTAATTTGATTTGAAGTTGGCCCGAAACCCACGTCGAAAGTTGAGAGTCGCAAAATTTCGGGGCTCGTTTGCGCTTCATTGGCAGCTTAATTGCAAAGTTGTATATCAAAGTCTTTGGCAGCGTCGGCGGTGGCCAAGTAACCAAAACGAATTGAAATCGAATCACGTTGTCGGCCGCAACACAACCAACAACCACTTCAACAAAATGTCAAGTGAAAAACCATTCAAATCTTTGGCCGCACTCAGCTCGCAATGTGAAATGAAAAACGAAAGAAAAAGAAAAAAGTTTTTCGAAATCAACGCCGCGCACCTTTTTGAAAAGGTAGCGAAACGTGAGTGGACTTGCCAATGACAGACAGCGCAACGAGAAGCGAGAAATCGAAAGCGACACTGAGAACTCGTCTACGATGCGAGAGAGCTCGTAGAACTTGGCGAACTTTGGAGAAGAACTCGGTTAACTCGGCATGGGGACGAACCCAACTTGAGCGCGCCTTGGTCGCAAACATTTTCGTTTAATGAGACCAATAAAAGCCTCTGGGCTGAAGCCCAGATCCTCTGCCAATGTGCCGCAGTCAGCGCCGGTGCTAGTGCCTGGGTCTCCTGGCGAAATCAAAAGTTTTTGCAAATTGCATTTGTAATGGCAACGACGCTTAAATCTTTTATGAGCTCCATACTTAAGTATATTACGGACTAAGACGCAGTGACGAGAGCTTGGGCAGAGAGACAGCGTCAAGCAGAACGGAAATGAAATTGAAAGCGCACGCACGTGTTTATGACGTTAAAACCCTTTCCTCTAATTGTCCGCCTGGGACGATTTCCAGCCGAAATGTGAGGCACGGCACAGACCGCTTCGCTCCGCCCATCCAATAAAATCAAGTCAAGTACAGTTAAGTGTGGAATTATTTAACTTTTGATGTCCAATTGATCGGAAAATAATCAAACTATTGTTATGCAATTTCATGACG